AAAAATGTCTAAAATTCCATTTTTGGGAAAAGGAATTAGAGCCACAAAAGTTTTGGGATTAATACGCACAGACGTTTGTGGTCCAATAAATCACATGGCAAGAGGTGGTTTTTACTATTTCATTACATTCACCGATGATTATTCTAGGTATGGTTATTTGTACCTAAGGAAACATAAGTCTGAATCCTTTGAAAAGTTCAAGGAATTTCGTAATGAAGTAGAAAAGCAACTTGGAAAAAGCATCAAAGCTCTCCCATCAGATCATGGGGGAGAATACCTTTTAGATGATTTTTGAAATTATTTAAAAGAGAATGGTATCATATCTCAATTAATCCCCACGGCACACCACAAAATAATGGGGTGGCTGAAAGAAGAAATAGAACCTTATTAGATATGGTACATTCAATGATGAGCATGTCAGAACTGCCAATTTCCTTTTGGGGATTTGCATTAGAAACTACTATTTATTTGTTGAATAGAGTTCCTACTAAATCAGTTCCTAAAACTCCATATGAATTATGGACTGGAAAAAAAGCCTAGTCTAAAGCATATTAGGATATGGGGCTGTCCAGCACATGTGAAAAAGCAAAATGTTGATAAATTGGAATTGAGAACTGATATATGCATTTTCCTTGGATATCCTAAGACGACATTTGGTTACTATTTTTATAATCCTAAAGAACAAAAAATTATTGTTAGCAGAAATGCTATTTTTTTAGAAGATGATTATATTTTCAATGAAAATAGAACAAGAATTGTTCTTGAAGAAGTAACTGACATTTCAATAGATGGGGCAAGTAGTCAAAGTGAAGGACAAATAAGTAAGCCCACTGAACCAATTGTTGCACAAGAACCTCGGCGTGGTAAGAGGATCATTAGACCTCCAGTTAAGTTATCGCTATTAAATGAGATTTATCAGATGGAATCAGAATTGTCTGATGATGATCCATTTACATACGAAGAGGCAATTAATGACAAAGATGATGGGCATTGGCAAAAAGCCATGGAATCTGAAATGGACTCAATGTATTCTAATAAGGTTTGGACCTTAGTAGATAAACTTGAGGGTATTAAACCCATAGGTTGCAAATGGGTATATAAAAGAAAATTAGGACCCAATGGAAAGGTAGAGACCTACAAAGCAAGACTAGTGGCGAAAGGGTATAACCAAAAGGCTGGTATCGATTATGAAGAAACTTTTTCACCAGTAGCCATGCTAAAGTCCATAAGGATTCTTTTGTTAATTGCTGCACACTATGATTTTGAAATTTGCAAATGGATGTTAAAACTGCATTTTTGAATGGCTATATACAAAAAGAAATTTATATGCACTAACCAGAAGGTTTTATATCTCATGGTGCAGAAAATAAAGCGTGCAAATTAATGAGGTCCATTTATGGTCTCAAGCAAGCATCTCGGAGTTGGAATATTTGTTTTGATGAGGCAATCAAATCGTTTGGTTTCTCGCAAAATATGGACGAACCTTGTGTTTACAAGAAGGTCAGTGGGAGTGCCAAAGTATTTTTGGTTCTCTATGTTGATGACATACTACTCATTGGGAATGATGTAAGTCAAAGTTTGGTTATCTAATCACTTTGCAACGAAAGACCTTGGTGAAGCTAGTTATATACTCGGGATCAAATTGTTTAGAGACCGAAAGAAAAGATTACTTGGTCTTTCACAAGTCAATTATATTAACGAAGTCTTGGCAAGATTTAGCATGCAAGATTCCAAGAAAGGGTTCCTACCCTTTAGGCATGGAATTCGTCTCTCTAAGGGAATGGCACCAAAAACACAAGGGGAGAGAGAGAAAATGAGAAATATTCCTTATGCTTCGGTAGTGGGAAGTCTCATGTATGCAACGCTTTGTACTAGGCCTGACATTTGTTACATAGTGAGCGTTGTGAGTAGATACCAATCCAATCCAGGTCCAGAGCATTGGATAGCAGTGAAACACATTTTGAAATATTTGAAAAGGACTAAACACTATTTTCTAGTGTTTGATAGTGAAAATTTGGTTGTTGAAGGTTACACTGATTTAGATTTTCAATCTGATATCGATGATAGAAAATCAACTTCTGGTTTTGTTTTCACTCTTGGAAAAGGAGCAATAAGTTGGAGAAGTTGCAAGCAAGATACTACCGCAAATTCTACAACTGAAGCAGAGTATGTGGCTGCAAGTGAAGCTGCAAAGGAAGCTGTTTGGATTCGCAAGTTCATTCAAGAACTAGGTGTTGTCCCAACAATTGAATCTTCCATAATTGTTTATTGTGACAATACCGACGCTATTGCACATGCTATTGAGCCTAGGGCTCATCGAAGGACAAAGCACATTGAGCGTAGATTTCACTTGATACGTGATATCATTCATAGAGGAGACATGTCAATAGCAAAGATTGCATCAACTGAAAATGTTGCAGATCCTTTCACAAAAACCTTAACTCATAAGGTTTTTGAAAAGCACTTGGAGATAATGGGCATTAAATACATGTGTAATTGGTTTTATGTGCAAGTGGGAGAATGTTAGCATTTGTGCCTTCAAAAACCAATTTGTTGACTTTATTGACTAATTAAATAAATTGCTTAGCATTTTATTTTGCACTTTGTATATTATTATTATGGGTAATGTTATATTTAATGTTACATATGTTGTGAACATAAGGTCCCTTGGGTAACATTGTAGAAAAACATGCTAATAGTTAATGAACCAAAAGCTGGGAGTTATGATTTTTCGGTGCCTTGTAGACCCAATTAATGTTCTAGGCTATGGGTGTTGATTGGGCGTCGCACTACTATGGCCTACACTTGTTTTGCTGCTATATGATAGCATGATTAACTCCATCATTGAGGTAGTGACCTTAAGCAAATAGGTGGATATTATGCAATAAGTACATGCACTGAACATGATTCGTTTTAAGAACACGTATGGAATGATCACTGTCAGTTTAAAAGGTAGTCCTATTACAATACACTTATTTTCCTTTCACTTGAGAGGCTTGTATAAATTAATTAACTATTCATTTAACTTTGACATTGTCAATCGGTGACGCCGAACCAAAGGCTATACAGGGACATGTTGGGTTATGTGAGTAGTAATTGATTTATATAGGTGCTTAACATGGAATCCACTATTCTCAAAGTGAGAAAGTATATTCAAGCAATTTTTCCTATTAACGTTGGATCAAAAGAAAACCGGCCGGTTAATTTTTCGTAAAAATATTTTATACATATATAATTGTAAAAATACTATTTTTGGAAAATGCTTTTAGGGTCCAATTAGAAGAAAGAAAAATTTAGAATTCGGTTACATGAGTTAGGACTTTTGATAGTGATAAATTTGTCCATACCTAATAGCTCATGTGGAATATAGTTTGGTGGAAGGAAATTTGTGATTAATTGTAAGAAAGGGCCTCACTTGTAATTCTCTACTTTTAGGGGTTTAATTGTAATGTGTTGATGGACATTATTGCAATTAGTGGAAGTTCTATATTATCTGTTTAAAAGATAATTAATGAAAAATTGGATAAGTTGTATCCTGCATATTTAAGATAAAAGATACATCTTTTATTTTATCCCCACAACTAAAAGATAGAGATCCCTAAGGATCCCACCTACATGCAAACTTTATCATGTGTTGTGTGTATATATTAGATGTATTTGATACAAAAATTTGCCATCAAAATTTTTAAGGTCTGTAGAAAATATATACACAAAAATAAATCAAAGAGGGTGCAAGGTGAATCACTTTGGAGGCGAGACACTTGGATCGCTTGGTGAGGTATTATCAACAACACACTTGGATTGAGGTACTTTAGATTGTGTAATCAGGTAGTGTTTCTTTGAAAAGTGTTTTTAAAAATAAATTATTTTTCCGCAAACTTTCAAGGGGGGTTTCCAAATTAACCGTGGCCATGGCTTAGTGATTGGTAAGAAAATCTCTTGGCGTTACAAGAAAATACATTTTTGGCGACCACTTTTGGCTACCAAATGGCTTTTAGTCGCCAAAAGTTACGGAATTGGCTACTAAAAATAATATTAGTCGGCAAAAGTTAAATTTTTAGCTACTAATTTTTTTTAGTCGGGGAATATTGATTATTGGCAATTAAAAAAAATTTAGTAGCTAAAAATATTACAATTTGCGACTAAAAGAAATTTAGTCGCCAAAAATGCTAGAAATTGGCGACAAAAAATAAATTTAGTCGCCGTAGGTAGAGATTTGGCTACTAAAACCTTTAGTCGGCAAATGTAAAATAAAAAATTAATTTTTATCTTTGGCGACCAAAATTTTGGTAGCCAAAAAGATTGTTTTCAGCGACAAAATTGAATTTTAGTCGCCAAAGAAGTAAAATGTTTTGGAGGGAGACCTTCCAAATATTTAGAGGGATTTATAAAATACCTTTAGCGACCAATATCGATAGTCGCCAATAACCATTTATATAACACATCTCACGGTCTCACCAAACCAAACCCAACCCTGAACCATTAATAGCGCCTCTCTCTCTCTCTCTCTCTCTAGCGTCCTTCTCCTTCTCCCTCTCCCTCACCGCCGCTCCTCTCCCCTCCACTCTCACCGGTGCTCCTCCTCGCGTTGGCCGACAACCGGAGCACCGATTCACCTCCTTGTTGGTCACCGTCGCCTGAGATCCTCTCTCTCTCTCTCGGCTCTGTTTTTCTGTCTCTCAAAAACCCATACAGCTTCACATACACGCTCACACATAGGTTCTTCAAATAGGTAACAAGGTATGATTTCTAATGCATAATACTCTGTTGGGTCATTCACTTTTTGCTCTAATTCTAGCTTTCCATTAATGGGTTCCATCAATTTTGTTGAAGGGCTGCCCTAAAGCTTCCAGCAGCAAGATTTACCAGATCATTTCCCACGAATGAAATGTTACAGTGAGGGACTTTATGTCACTCAATTTGATTCATTGTAGGCTTGCAGTATTCCATGGTTAGGTTTAGTTTCTTCTTTATTAATGGATTTCTAATAATTTTCGTTGCATAGAGACAAAGTCGTGTTGCCATTGTTATTAAGGCTACAGGTGAAAGCTCTGAATCTTCGACTTCTCTTAGTGTTGTTAAATCTGTACAAAATGTTGTGAGTCCCCCCCCTCTCTCTCTCTCTCATAATTGTTTTATTGCCAATTGTTTTTAATAAAAAAAAATAGTGAAACTATTTGGAAAAGGTTGCAATTTGGGTCTATGATCTTGTACTTTCTGATTCAAGCTAAGTCTGTGAACCTCTGTTGTTATGAAGTAAAAAGGTTGCAATTCTCAATTCTTCTTTATTTGAATTTCTTTGATTATGATGATTACATAATTTGATGATTCTGAAACAAAGACTAGGTACAACTTGAAGATTTGTTGTGTGTTCCTCGAATTATGAACATATAGGGGCTTCTTGCATTTTTTTTACACATATTGTCACCAACCTTTTGATCTTTCAGTAAATTAATTGGGATGTGAAGTATTTTTGCTGTATCATGAACTATTTATTTGATTGTTTCCATAAATAACTTTCCTCAATAATTTGTTTGATACCAGTGCAAACCACATTATCTAAGCAACCTTCCCTCCTTAGTGTCTATTTTCTTCTTAGTTAGCTAAGCTATGTTGTGCACATATATCACTTTACCCTTGGATCTAAATGAATAAATTTGGGAGCTATAACAAATTAGCCATGTTGCTTTGTCCTGTAATTTTTTGTTTTAGATGAGTGCCACACATAGCTATGTCTATAGACATGCGCTTGAAATACTTGCCTGAGTCCATACACCAGTTACATTGGCTTGTAAGGCCTCCTTGCCTGATTTTTTATTTTTATTTTTATTTTTTGTTAGAACGCCTTTTTATCATTTTAATTGTCTCTGTTAGAATAACTTAAATTGTTGTTTTATGCTTAAGCATATCATTGTGCAGATGATCATTTATTGTCTTGCTTATGGTGTACTTAATTATTATTGTTGCTGAGATAACCAGAATCCAGGAGTTCCCGCTATTGCAGCCTCAAAGCTTTCACCGCTTCCTCCTGAACCTGTTGACTATTATGCCTTTGTCATGGATTCCCTGAAGGTCTATCACAACCTTGTTCTATATTTAGACACCTTAAAATTACCCTATGAGGCCTAAATACTACATTTTCTATTTTGTGCACTTTAGGCATAATTCATCTTTATGGGTAATCAATTATCAATTTTGATGTTGAATGTGAAAACTACCTTCATGATTGTATGCTGCTTCTCCCAAAGACTTGTGTCACATACCCTCCCTGTGTGTGTGTGTGTGTGTGTGTGTGTGCGTGTGTGTGTGTGTGTGTCTGCGTGTTTTGGGGAGAGGCTTATAGTCATCTACATCAACTACCTTTCATGTTCAAATCATGGAATTCTGATGAAATTTCTTTGAATTTCCCAAATTTGAGGATTTTTTTTTTAACATTAATTTCCAAAATGACATCAAAAAATTGATATGAAATGGAAATTGGGATCTATTTGGGAATTTTCTGTTATAAAATTGTCTGTTAACCCATTACAGGACTGATAGTGCATTGAAGTTTGGGTGGTTTTTCTTGAGTTACGTGGTAAGCTTTTGCATCTTCTAGTTAGATTTGTTTTCAACATTAGCGTGCCATGTAGCTTTGTTTTAGAAACTTTCTTGATATTTTGAGGTATTTAATTTACCTAATCTTTGGTTTCATTTGTTCCACATCAGGTATTATGCCAAAAATATTACCGGAGATATCTATGAATCTGGGTGGATTAGTGAGATGTACGGTTATTCTTTTGGTACAGTAGAGGTATACGCTCACATTTCATTTACAAATTTCTTGAGCTCCCTTTGAAACGACTGATCATCTCCCTGTTTGGTTTCATTTTCAAAATCTTTTTCTTGGTGGATAAAATGAAAAATAAAAAACACTTATTATTTTCATATGGTTTTCTCGCTTCATGCTCCATTGTCTTTGATAATCTTTTCGTAGGCATTGAAGTTTGGCAACCAATAATCATTTGAATTAGTATCCCAAATCATTTGAATTAGTATAATCATTTAAGATACATGGTATACTGATTTCAAGTGTTGTTTACCATGCAGTATGTCACCCGCTATTCACGAAAATCCTTACGAGTCCTCGGTAGTGTAGGCGAGCCTATAAATCCTAGTGCATGGAGGTTACAAGCTCTACTCTTGTTGCTGGATTACATTTTTTGAACACAAGAAGTATGACACGTTTTCTTTTTCATCTTAACAGGTGGTTTTTCAATATAGTTGGAGATTCAAGATGCCTCATATTTGACACTTGGTGGCAAACAGAGACAGGTGGCTTTATGGTAGGTTTTGTCCCTCACTTCTTCTCGGTATATCTGCTGGCTCTTGAAACAATTTGTTTTCTACATTTTACTATGTTCTAGAGTTGACAAAATATATATGGGGAACTACTGAACTCAATCACTTGCTGCAATGAAATTATATAACTACATGAAATCAACCTCTTATGTGTCAATTTCTAAATCATTTAGCTTCCTTGATTTGCCCTGTATATACAGATTTACATAATACAGGGTATATGCAGTTCTGTATAATGTATGAAATGAAAGGGGGATTTGGGAAGGTATTTGGAAATGAAAAGGAAAAAAGTGAATGTGTATCTTAATGGTTAAGTAAAGTAGAGTAATAAATGTGTATCTTAATGGTTGAGTAGGAGACAAAATCAACCCCAATTTTCTCTTTTGTGTGGCCTCATTTGTGGAGAGCACCATATGCTGTGACTTTGTGAGGATTAATTGAATGCATTTTAATGGACTATGGAGAATCACTTCCTTCATAAATCAAAAAAGATATAAAGAAACAAGAAGTAAGCAAAAAATATATATTTTTTTGGTATGTAATGTGTTGATCTGCAAGTGCAATGTGCTGATCTATATGATTCGCTTCACTTTTTAATTTGCTGAAATTTTTCTCAAGTGAGACCATGTTGCTGGATTTTGATGGCAGGAATCATCCTCTGCTCAATATATATTGCAGCAGTACACTACAGCTTGCGGAGGACAAAAGCTTCAGAATGCTGTTGTCAATGCTTATGCAATGGGTAAGGTGAGGATGTTAGCTTCTGATATCGAGACAGCCACAAAGGTCATATAGAAAAGGAATTCCTCCAAAGCTGCAGAGTTAGGTGGGTTTGTGCTCTGGCAGATGAATCCAGATATGTGGTATGTGGAGCTGGCTCTTGGTGGCAGCAAAATTCATGCTGGATGTAACGACAAGCTTGTTTGGAGGCACACACCGTGGCTATTTCAGCCAGAAAACTGGGCTCCTTGTACACCTTGAAGACTCCCATTTGACTCGCATCCAAAGCAATGGCACGGATGCTGTGTAGTTGGTTTTTCTTGTATTTGTTAGATAATGTCTCAATGGGACCACATAATTAAATGTGGTGTTATCATGCACGGATGCTGTGTAGTTGGTTTTTCTTGTATTATGTATGAAATTAAATTATTGATGTTGGATTAGACTTGGTTCTTATGGAATTTGTAATATATATATAATTGGACGTTCAATATTAATTTTTTGGATGGTTGGAACCAAAATGTGTGCACGTTGTTGAATGCTTGATAACATATTTAGCGTTGATGGATTATATTGTTTATACATGGTACATGTTGTATTAATAATGGATACAAGTTGTTTAGAAATTTTTTTTTTTTAAAAAAAACACGTTAAAGTATTTGGCCGCCAAATATTTTGGTAGCTAAATAAGTTTGTCAAATGTTTTGGTGACTAAGAATTTAGTAGCAAAAACATAACCCAATGCACTTTTAGTGACTAACACTTTAGTCGCCGAATGCACCTTTTGCCGACTAAATACAGTTTGGTAGCCAAATGTGTACTTTCGACGACTAATTATTTAATAGCTGAAGGTGACACCTTCCCCGACCACAACAACTTAGTAGCCAAAAAGCCTCATTCGGCGACTAAAGGCTTTAGTGGCGGAAACATAACATTTGCCGACTAAACTAATATTAGTAGCCAAATGTAGTCACTTTCGGCGACCAAACGAAATTTAGTCGCCAATACGATCGCCGACAGGGTAAAGGCGACGAGCTTGGCGACAAAATATTTTAGTCGCTAAATCGTTTCAACGACTAAATATTGGACTTTTGGTGACCAATATTTTGGTAGCCAAAAGTGACATTTCTTGTAGTGTGGGTGAGATTTTGAGCGTCACCTAAACTATTAAAATTGTTGAAATTGTTATAATGGTTGTTACATTTCTCATGGTATTAATTATTATGGTTTGATTATTTTCTCTTAAAAAGAATGGTAGGTTAGTTATATTTTCTTACTGTGTTGCAAAACTCATGGCATATATTTTGTTGCCCTAACGTTTCATGCCAGATTATATCGAAAAAGGGACTGAGGCTGAATTTGGAGCTGCTGCTAATATTGAACCTTGGCTAACTTAAAGTCAAGACTTTATCAAAATAAAATTTTATTATCTCTTGTATTAGTATTTAAAAATGTTGTGACGTTGAATGTGAACTTGCAATTTTATTTTTGTTGTTGAACTTTGACTAAATTTCCTAATTAGTTGTTAAAATTTTATTTAGCAAGTTATTTGTTATTTAAATTTTATGATGTTCCAAAAAAAAATTTGGGGCGTCACAGTGACTCAGCTAGAGAGAGAGAGAGAGGAGCTTCATGATTGAAATTGAACTGGAGAAAAAGAAGAGCTTCACGAGAATGAGAGGGCTTCAAACTTCGAACAAGAGGACGAACGATGGAAAGCAGATACCAGATGGGTTGAGAACTAGAGTCACGACTTCTGAGGTGGGTTGCGAGTTTCAGAGATGCGAACAAAGGCCGTGATTCAAGCAAAGTCAGAAGTTGATCGTGCTACTAGTGAAAGAAAGGTCAAGAGATCGCCAGAAGAAAGGCAAGAAAGAAAGAGATCTCAAGTTCAGATGTGGTTGGGTTATAGCGGTGGTGGGTAAGAATACGTTGATGGATGGCGGGATGGTAAACACGGGTCAATGGGAGGTTGGAGAGGGGTGGCCGATAACGAATAGCGGCAAGAATAAACTGAGGAGAGTCGTCGTAGTGTATCGCTGAAACTATAGTGGTTGAGGGTTAGGGTTTTGAGAGGTTCAAAGAAGGGGGATATAATTGGGATTAATGTGGGGGGTTCAAGAGAAAATAAGAGGCACTTAATTAAGTGAGTATGAGTTCAAAGAAATAGAAAATCCAAAAAAATAAGATAAGAATAAATAGCAACTCTCTTTTTAATATATATATATATATACCTATTTTTTGAATTCACCTTAAGTTTTCTAAAAGTCAAGGCTGGTCCTACATCCAAATCTTGCCTTAGGTAAAAATTATATCTAAACCTAGGAATGGTTATTTTTTCCTGCTCCACCTGCATCTCTCATATTGCCCCTCAGAGATTATTCTTATCTCGAAAAAGAAGTGGGATAAGAACGAATTTTGCATCCTGCTCTCATTTTAACCACTCTCGCCCTACTTATATTTAGGGTTGATTTGGGATGTTCTAAAAAAGTATACTTTTTGACTTATTGGCTTATATGGGTTGAGTTTGGGTTGGGTTTGATGTGATGTGTTAGAGAGGTGATGTGATTTAAATAAGATGATGTGGCGGAATGAGAACAACTGTCATATTTATTTTATATATATTATATGATTTGATTTTTTTAAATTAAAAATAATTAAAACCTTAAAATACTACTCTTAATATTCATTTTTACTTATTTATTTATCACCTTACATTTTTTTTTTAAATTTTTATTAATATTTTTATTTTTAAGTTATAAAATTAATTCCATCATTGCCGCCACCAATCTGATTTGATGCAGAGCTAAGGCAGAAAACGACCAGCCCGCCCCCTGGCTATCCTCTATTCAATACACAATTCATGAGCAAGGCTGCCGACAAACACCAAACGAGAAATTATTTAACGTTCGTATAGCAAGTAAGAAAATGTTTGGTAATTTAAAATTTTGTGATTTAAATGATTTAAATCTATCAAAACGATGTCGTTTTAGATCGTTTTACACTTAAAATGAGGTCGTTTTGAATGATTTGAACCATTTAAGGCACAAAATTTTGAGTTACCTAACATTGTTGTAGCAAATGTTAGATGATACCCTAAATAAAGAGTTATTAATCTAAATTACAAGATCTATCATTTTTATATGAAAAATGTTATTTATCTTAAATTTTTTATTAAATAAATAATTAAATATTTCATATGGGTGCGAGGTTCACAAAATAAAAAATTTAATACCTCTAACATTATCTTTTTATATTAAAATTTTAAAAAATAAAATATTAAGTATTAACTTGTAAAAAAAATAGAACATTATCCCCAGAACATTTAAATAATTTCTCACAACACCTTATGCCAGGAACCCATTCCAAGAAGAAACAGCGTGATGCCTTGATAGTAGTGCCTATCCAATCTTTCACCGACACACTCAGAATTTGTATTTAAACTTATTAATATGTTATTCAAATTTATTTCAATAATAACCTCACAATTAGAGATAATTATTTTTTCCTCTGACTATATTCTCGCATTCCCTCCTCTGCTCTACGCCAATTTTGTAAAAGTCCTATAGGTGACATAATTACCAAAATACCCTTAATGTGAATGTTCACAACGTCAATATAAATGTTTATATCGTCAATGTGTAGGGGCCCGGCTCATGTCGATCCTCGTGGATGCCCGGAAAAATTCGAGTCGGGCTGGGCCGGCCCACAAGCCAAAAAAATAGGCCTGACCCGGCCCATTGATAATATGAATATTCACATTGACAAGTTAACATTCACATTGATAGGAGTGTAAAATTGGTCTGCGACCCGTGGGCGGCCCGAAACCAGCCCGTCGCCCGGGGCGGGCCCGGGCCGGCCCGTTCACAATATGAATATTCACATTGACATATTAACATTAACATTAACATTGACAAGAGTGTACAATTGGCCCATGACCCGTGGGCAGCCCGAAGCCCGGGCCCGGATCGGGGCGGGCACGGCCCGGCCCATTGACAATGTGAATATTCACATTGACAAGTTAACATTCACATAGATAGGAGTGTAAAATTAGCCTACGGCCTGTGGCCGGCCCGAAACCCGCCCGTGGCTCGTGGGCTGCCCTGGGCAAGCCCGGCCCGACCCATTGATAATGTGAATATTCACATTGACATGTTAACATTCACATTGATAGGAGTGTAAAATTCGCTCGCGTCTCATGCCTGCCCGAAACCCGCCCACGGCCCATGGGCGAGCCGGGGCGGGCCCGGTCCGTTGACAATGTGAATATTCACATTGACATGTTAATATTCACATTAATAAGAGTATAAAATTGGCCCGCGCAACGTGGCTGCCCAAAACCCGCCCATGGCCCGTAGGCAGCCCGGGGCAGGCCCGGCCCGGCCTGTTGACAATGTGAATATTCACATTGACATGTTAACATTCACATTGACATGTTAACATTCACATTGATAAGAGTATAAAATTGGTCCGTGCCCCGTGGCTGCTCGAAACCCGCCCATAGCCCATGGGCGGCCCGGGGCGGGCCCGGCCCGGCCTGTTGTCAATGTGAATATTAACATTTACATTGATAAGAGTATAGAATTGGCCCGCGGCTCATGGGCGGCCAAAAGCCCGCCCATAGCCCGAGGCGGGCCCGGCCCAGCCCATTGACAATGTGAATATTCACATTGACATGTTAACATTCACATTGATAAGAGTGTAAAATTGGCCCGCAACCCGTGGGCGGCCTGAAGTTCGATCGCAGCCCGAGGCGGGCTTGGCCCAACCCGTGACAATATAAATATTCACATTGACATGTTAACATTAACATTGATAGGAGTGTAAAATTTGCCTGCTGCCCGAAGCTCGCCCGCGGCCCAGGGTAGGCCCGGTCCGGTCCGTTGACAATGTGAATATTCACATTGACATGTTAACATGTACATTGATAGGAATGTAGAATTGGCCCGCCGCTCGTGGGCTGCTCGAAGCCCGCCCACAGCCCGGGGCAGGCTCGTTTGGGTCCAGGCTCGAGCATGTCCGAGACCCTAGGCTAGGGCCTCGGCCATCACTTTGAAGCCCGGCCTGGCCCAATGGCCCGCTTAAGGCCCATTCAAGGCTCGGTCCGAGCCCCAGCCCGCCTGAGGCACAATGTCTTTTCTTGTGGAAAATAATAAAATTTTGGTAGAAAAAATTAAAAAGAATTAAAAAAAAATGGTCAGGCCCGCCCAAGCCCGGCCTAAGCTTGAGCCTAGGCCTAGGCCCACCGGCCCGATCCGAGACTGTTGTCTTCGGGCCGCGGGCCAATTTTACACTCCTATCAATGTGAATGTTAATATGTCAATGTGAATATTCACATTGTCACGGGCCGGGCCGGGCTGGGCTCACCCAGGGCCGTCCACGGGCTTCGGGCCGCCCATGGGACGCGAGTTAATTTTACACTCTTATCAATGTGAATGTTAACATGTCAATGTGAATATTCACATTATCAACGGGCGGGGCCCGCTCCGGCAACGGGCGGGTTTCGGGCTGCCCACAGGCTGCGGGCCAATTTTACAGTCCTATCAATGTGAATGTTAATATGTTAATGTGAATATTCACCTTGTCATGGGCCGGACCGGGTTTGTCCCGGCCGCCCATAGGCCGCGGGCTAATTTTACACTCCTATCAATTTGAATGTTAACATGTCAATGTTAATATTCACATTGTACATGGGCCGGACCCCTACACATTGACAATATGAACATTTACATTGATGGTGTGAACATTCACATTAACGGTATTTTGGTAATTATGTCACCCATAGGACTTATTGAAACATAAGAAAATAATATGAACTAAATAGAACATAAGTAGATGAAAAGGGTATTTTGGTCTTCTTATCTCAAATAAGACCTAATAGAATAGTAAAAAAGAATATGGATTGAATGGAACATAAGTAATTAAAGATGGATTTATGGAAAAAGCTCTATTTATTTTTTGGGCAAAACTTTAGCCATATTTTCTGGACAAGAAGACCAAAAATACTAGAGGTCTTAAAAATTCTATCAAAAGTTATACCAAATGTTTTATATGAGTGTGTGATCTACATGAGACCTACATTATATAGATTTCACACCCATATAAAATATTTAATAAAATTTTTAATAAAATATTTGAGATATACTTATTTTTTATTTTACACAGCCTAATATTCACAAAGCCAGCTTGATTGATTCAATTTCCCAAGCCAATCATCCACCTTTCCAAGACAAGTCAATAAATATTATTGGGAAAATAGAAATTCAATGTAAAATTGAAAAAATAATAATTGATAAATTTTATAAATATTAATAATTAAAATTTTAATTTTTTTTTATGTATTTATAAATATATTTTTTAAAAGCCTACTAGGCTGTAATTCTCCAAATATTATTGGAGAAATTGCGTTACATTTTTACAAAATATTTCTAGATCAATTAAAAAAATTATGAATTTAATTATTAACATTTATAAATTTATAGATGGAGGGAACCCAATAATTATTAAAAAAAGAAAAAGGAAAAAGAAGAAGAAGCAAGCAAAGTTGGGGAATTATTCCATACTTTCGGAGCACTACGTGGATATACTTCAAGTCAATCACCAATTACTTAACCCCATGTTATTTTCTCATCCCAAACATAAATTGTGAACCCTTACACCTCTCTACCAATCAAAACCTCATAAAACACCACGTGTCTATATTACGAAAGTACTGAATAATCACCCAGCAAAGTTTGATCCATGGGGCTAACGGTCAACCTCTGTTAAAGTAGATCACAAGATTATTTGGTGGTCACATGATGATGTTACTCAACTACCAAAATTCAGTAACAAGTCTACCAGAGCTGCCATTGTGCAGAATACAGATTGCTCATTCAATTCCATTGAGTGAAGCATTTCTCTTCTAATTTTCCTGTTATCTCTGCTCTGCAATCTTATATATACCACATGAAAACCACATAGTCTAGAGCCCAGGCTGGATATTCAGTGCTACTCTTTCATTAATTTTTTTGAAAACAGTTTCATTTACCATGTATTTGTACTCTTTCCAACCCAATTAAAATCTGAAGCTTCAGGGCCTATTAAAGTTAGCAACTTTGGGTTCAGATCAGAACCAACCGAGAGCTAGCTAAAGATGGACAAACTTCCAAGTGAAATCATCATCACCATACTCTCAACACTACCCATCAAATCCTTGATTTCTTGCAGGTGTGTATGCAAATCCTGGCTCAACTTAACCCATGATTCTCAACTCATAACCACTCACCTCCATCGATCATCTCAAAACGAGGACAATCTCAGTATCATCTTTGTAAGTTGCATCCTCATCAACCCCACTCATTTCAGAACTCGATTATCTTTCATAGACAACAACTATGGTGGAACAAATGACAATTACACTTGTGTAGATCTAAACCTGTCAATCCCAAACTTGAATAAGTTTGAAGTACTTGGTTCTTGCAATGGTCTACTTTGTTTATTTGATCCACTCACTAAAACCCTAAAATACATTTGCAATCCTTGCAATGGAGAGTATGCACCTCTTCCTAATCCCATAAGGCCATCACCATCATCAACATCAACATCAAGCCCTCTTCCTCTTGAAGTCGCGGTCGGGTTCGGATATCTTCCGCAAAGCAACGTATACAAGGTGATAGAGTTAGTTTACTACAGCAGTGCAATCTTCAGTGGTGATTCAAGGCCAGAGGCTCATGTCCTCACTCTCGGTGACCGTTCATGGCGCCATATAGGAAATGCTCCTTTTTCACTCATTCGCGGGTCGAAAGCTTCTCAAGCATTTGTCAATGGTGCTCTTCACTGGTTAAGTGATAGCCCTGGTTTTGATTGCATTGTTTCATTTGATGTTGGTGAAGAACAGTTTGGAGTGGTTCCACATCCTGAGTTTGAGTCAGGTCAACTTAACTACAGATTGGGAGTGTTGAGAGGGTGTCTCTCAGCTGCAAACTACAGTTATGCAGAGTATGCTGAGATGTGGGTGATGAATGAGTATGGTGTGAAGGAGTCTTGGACTAGGTATTTCAAAGTGAATTGCAGTGAGGTTGGGTTGAGAATAGGGTTTGTTCGGCCACTCTGTCGCCGGAGATCTGATGAGGTTTTGCTGTTACATGGAAGCTCTAGTCTGCTGTGTTATGATCCCATAACTAAGAGATTGAAGGAGCTTAGTATAGTTAGGTTACCACCTGCTTTCCAAGTGGTTACTCATGTTGGAAGTCTAGTTTCACCTCATAGTTTGTTAGATTGTTTGGTTGAGGAGAACAATGAGTGCACCAACTTGAATGTTGAAGCTGTGACAGAAGAACCAACAAAATAATTTACTCCAAATTGGTGAGATGGCACCATGATTTGAATGTTTGAGTAAAGTGAACAGAATGAGGTTACATTTTATATCACCATCTAAGTCATTTTTTTATTTTTTATGTTTGCTGCATTGCATGGACCAAATAGGGACACGACTTAGATGGTGCTATAAGATGGTTGTGATTGGTGGATATTGTGAAATCCACCATTTTATATGAGTGATGATGGAGGAACAATATGAAAATGTGATATTTTGTCATGCGTTTGTGACATAAACATGTGGTGTCAATGGGTATCAAATAAATAATTTTCTGCTTTTATTAATTGTAGGGTTATTAAAAGGTGCAAATCTACTTATGTAGCACCCTGTTGTGACATGTGATTTGAATTGTTAAAATTATGGTGAAAGAAAACATAGTGTTGAGTGACATATTTATGAGCTTACAAGTTATAATAGAATGTTCAATAAGAAACCTAGAGTAGTGAACAAGATGCCTAAAAGTGATTTGAATTATTAAAATTATGGTGAAAGAAAACATAGTATTGAGTGACATATTTATAAGCTTACAAATTACAATGGAATGTTCAATAAGAAACCTGAGTAGTGAACAAGGTGCCTAATAGGGTAATCAATAAAATAAGGAAATACAATAAATTGGAAATATAAATTTGCACGAATTATTATATATGAAACATCTTGTCTTGTATGCCTGAGTTATGCATTTTTATTTTGGGTTAATTTCACATGTTCTCTTAAATTATTATTTTTTTCTTTTTTTCTTTTAATATTCCATCTATAAATTATTGATATCATCTATTTAGTTCCTTAAATTTATGATTTCAGTACATATGGATCAATTGGAGATACCCTTCCAAATTAGTAACAATACAAGTCTAACTTAATGCGCAAAAAAATAATTTACAATTCGAACAATTTAAATCATATAACTAATGACTCATCTTTTTACTCTCCTCACACTCACAAGACTTACTCTGCCTTTGGCTTCGTTGGTTATGCTCCTTACTAGGACTAGGCCTTATAAGCAAGGACGGAACTACACTAAGGTCTCGTTTGGGAGCATATTATTTTAGTAATTTTTTTGACTTTTTATGAAAAAATGTGCAGAAAAGTAGAGAGAGTGATGTGATAACTTATATTGACTTTTCAACTAATATGTATAGTTGACAAACGAGACCTAAGTCTTATAAGAACGGGACTACACTAGGTCGGGGGGACCTCACCCCTAACTTCTGTATAAACCCTCCATGGCACTCTTCTCACAACTTCTAAAATCCTTACAAAAAACTTCTTTTATAGTGGATATGTTCCATCAAACGTATTTTTTTAAGGTCTTAAGCCAATAAAATGATTTACACTAGTTTAATATTCTCCAATTTAACAAGTGAATGTACTTATGATACAGAAGGAATTCCATTAATTTTAAACTTAATTTTAAACAAAATTCGAGTCTCATAACCAAATACAAGAAAAGGAAGTATAAAACACGGAACCTTTTGCGATGCCGCGTTCCCCGTCGCAAAAAATGATCTTTTGCGACGACAGATTAAACCGTCGCAAATAAAGAGCTTTAGCGATGGCAGTTGTACTGTTGGTAATAAACCTACGCAGGGAGTGTGATAATACAAAAGTATTAGGGACATCGTTTTTCATCGTCGCAAAAAAGAAATTTTTTGAGACGGCAGAAGGTTGCTGTCGCAAATAGTGGACAATTTGCGACGGCAAATGTCCGTTGCAAAAAAACCATTATCAAAACGGCGCCGGTTTAGCAATATTTATTTATCATTTGCAACGGTGTAAAATGTACCGTCGCAAAAAAGTAATAACAAAAATTTGCCCCGCTTTCCCCAATTTTTGGCGCTCGATCATTTGGATCGAAATCCCTAAATCTTTGAAACATATTTCTTTCCCCCCAAAGTCAAGGTAGTGCTCAAAACTCATTCACCGTATCAGCCACCGTTAGCCATCTTCAATCCAGCTTTCACAGCTTCTTCTCCGGCGAAGTTCTTCGGCTCCGGCGACCCCTCCAATAGAACCTCTCTCTACATGCTCAAAACCCATTCTTGGAAGCTTCGAAACAATGCCAATCGCAGCAATGGTGCTTCTGCTGACTCTTCTCTGAGGACTCAACTTCAACTTCAACTTCGTTCAGGTATATATCTATTCACATTCTTAAAACCCCATTTCATTTCGTTCTTTATTTCTCGAGAATTTTCAATCTATTTTTATGAACCAATGTAATTCAGATTTATTTTATTGGTTTGTATTTGAATAAGACACATTTGATCTGAGAATTTAAATTTCTCAGGTGGTTGGAATAGATATACTTCTGAGTTGAGAATATGATGTTCTCATAAGGTTCAACTCAAAATTGAATTAGACAGAAATGTTTTGGTGCTTGAAGTCAGTTGGTGCATTAAAAGGGTTGACAAGAGACTAATGGAGTGATACAAATAGTTGGTTAAATTTTGGGAAATAAGAATGGGGAAGAAAGAGATATCAAGAGTTTAGCAGTGTGCAAATATTGGAAAACATAACCCTAAGGTAGTGTTTAGTTCACTGGAATGATCATTCCATCAAAATATATACATTCCCTTCCCCTGTTTGGTTGGCTAAAAAAAGTAATGAAAAATACATTGTGAATAAAATCATCATTTACCAATTGTAAGCGAATGATCATTCCATAGGAAAGCTTACGTGTAGCGACCCTAATTTTCTTTAGTCATTATTTATTATTATTATGATTATTATTATCTTATTTTATTTTTTGGCTTTATTAATTGTGTGGTTTCCTTGAGAATTTAATGTGTTGTTTAGTTAATGTGATATTTAATCAATTTACTTGAGCTTAGGGTTGTTAGTAGTTCATGTATTTATTATTATTTTTTTTATGGCTTTAGTATTGGAATAATTTGGCATGGTTTGTAACCTTACTTTATTTAAAAATTTTAGCCTAGCTGTTGCTACTTTAATTAAAATAGCCCACTAAAATAGCCACTTCCCAAACGAGGCCATTATATAAGTAGTCAAAGTAGGTTTTAATCTCTTTTGGTGAAAAGTTTTCCATCAGCAGCCGTAGGCGTAAGAGAGAGAGAGATTAATCAAAGAAAATTTCGAGAAAGCACAGGGACGGCGGCAGTGGAGAGAGAGAGGAAGAGAGAGAGAGTTTAGGGTTTTATTTTGGTGGCTCTATTAATTCTCCAAATATTTCTTTGATCTTCAAAATAATATAGTGAGTACAAAATCCATTTCCCTTGATTTATGTTTAATTCATTATTTTTATTTTTATTTTTTTTAGTTATTTGATGTTAGTTCGATTTTATATTTGTATAAAGATGATATATTGATTTTAATTATTTTGATTAGTGGTGTATGTAAGGTTTAGGGTTTTTAGATGATTGATTGCTTTTAATTATTTTGTTTAGTTGTGTATGTAAGGTTTTGGGTTATTACACTACAAAAAAAATTGTTTTTTGCGATGGCAAAACGCCGTCGCAAATACTCCCGCACGCCGTCTCAAAAGCTATTTGCGACGGTAATTTTTCTTTTTGCGACGGCAAGTGGGGGTCACAATAAAGAGGGTTGCAAAAGAGCTTTAGCGACGCTTGTATTTGCGACGGGAAATTTTCTTTTTTGCGACGGCAATTTTCTGTCGCCAATAATGGATGAAAATCTGGGTTTTTTTGCGACGGCACTATTTTTTTGCGACGGTAGAGACTTGCCGTCGCTAAAGGAGTTTTGTCGACTGCCAAATCCCGTCGGTAAAAGTATCGTCGCTAATGACTATTGGCGACGGCAATTATACCGTCGCTAAAGCCTTGTTTTTCAATAAATTCTATACCTTTTGCGACAGTATGGCTGCCGTTGCAAAAAGCCTGGCACTTTTTTTTTTTTTTTTTGCGACGGGGTGTGCTGCCGTCTCAAAAAAAATTAAAAAAAAACCCTGTTTTACAATTATTAAAAATATAAAAAAAACCTGTAATGTTGGCAAATGATATAATAATATAAATACATAAATAAAATAACTAATGTTGGCAAATGATGTAATGTTGGCAAATGCTGGCAAATGAAAAATAACTACAAAAAAATCCAAAAATTACATAATAATATAAATACATACATAAACAAAAGTTGGCAAATGATGAAAATACATAATGTTGGTCACATGATACATACATAATATTGTTCACAAAATTAAATAACATAAATCAAAATTAAAATCAAAACCAAAAGTTTTCGTCTTGATTCTTTCGTGGGTTACAAAAACAAAAGTTGGTCATAATCTTTACATGCCCACATTCCACACGAAGCAAACTGCTACTTAGGAAATATCTGAAAAAAATAAAATAAAAATAATTAATAACAATATAATGGTGTTAATATTTTAATTACAGAAAAATATAAAAAAATTAACTACTATATAATTAGAAAGATAGTTTAGTACATAATTTTGACTAGACCGAAATCCGATTCTAACTCCCAAACCGGGAACCCAATTCGAGCCCCGTCTTCTCCTACAAGTCTCTCGTGCCTAGGAGGTCGTGTGTGCCAAGTTTCGTGGTAAACCGATGCCGATTGGTGAATTTAGGGCATTAACACCTCGAATTTAAATTTCTTAAGGAACTAGTTTGCCTAAAGTGAAATCCGGCTCTAACTCCCAAACCGGGAACCCGATTCAAGCCCCGTCTTCTTCCACAAGTCTCTCCTGCCTAGGAGGTCGTGTGTGCCAAGTTTCGTCCTAAATTGACGTGGTTTGGTGATTTTGGGGCATTAACTCCTCGAATTCAAGTTTCTTAAGGAACTAGTTTGCCTAAAGTGAAATCCGTCTCTAACTCCTAAACCGGGAACCCGATTCGAGCCCTGTCTTCTCCCATAAGTCTCTCGTGCCTCGGAAGTCGTGTGTGCCAAGTTTTGTCCTAAACCGACGCGGTTTGGTGATTTTGGGGCATTAACTCTTTGAATTCAAGTTTTTTAAGAAACTAGTTTGCCTAAAGTGAAATCCGGCTCTAACTACCAAATCGGGAACCCGATTCGAGCCCCGTCTTCTCCCACAAGTCTCTCGTGCCTAGGAGGTCGTGTGTGTCAAGTTTCGTGCTAAACCGACGCCGATTGGGCATTAACACCTCGAATTTAAGTTTCTTAAGGAACTAGTTTGCCTAAAGTGAAATCCGGCTCTAACTCCCAAACCGGGAACCCGATTCGAGCCCCGCCTTCTCCCACAAGTCTCTCGTGCCTAGGAGGTCGTGTGTGCCAAGTTTCGTCCTAAACTGACGTGGTTTGGTGATTTAACTCCTCGAATTCAAGT